TAAAATATGTAGAAAAAGTAAAACTCATTCACATTAATATTTTTAGGCCCATACATTTCAGGCCAAAAAAATCCAGTATTTTGAAACAACTCGTATCACAAATATTCTTTTGTGTATTTCTCAATAACTCTTTGTACATGGTGAAAATTACTAACTTTTGACACAACATTCCTTTTAAATTTCTTAAATGTTTTAGAGTCGCTAGCTCTTTCTTTAAGAAGCTTCTCATGACTGTTATAATACATTCTTAATACCTTTGACATAAAATTGATAGGTTATGCACACTGCTTTAGGGGGAACAAATTAGTACCAGTGGAAATCATCTTTTTAAAGTTATAAAATAGAAAACATACTACACTTTTATTTGGTTCAATAATCTAGTGAAAATTTCGGTCAAACCAAAATGAGCTTTTGATTTTAGGACTATCTTATTCTGAATTTGTCGCCTAAATTTGTTGCCTGAATTTGTTTCAGTAACATTGCTCCTTGTGTGGGTGTGTTATGTTTTTGTTCTTTTGCTGAGAACGTACATTTAAGCCTCTATTACATCTCTGATTCTCTGCCTTTTAGAAAATTTCATATATAATCCCACTTTCAAAGTTAAATATCATTAAATATGTATGTTCTAGTTTCTGTTTTCCTGTGTTTGTGCGTGCACGTGTGTTCATAAATGTGAGTGGAATTGAGATACATACAACCTGATTATTTCATAATACATTCTTGTTCCTATAATTTTTTCTTTTTTGAAACAAATCCTCACTGTGCTGCCCAGGCTGGTCTCAAACTCTAGGCATGTTACTGCCTCAGCTTCCCAAATAGCTGTAACTACAGCTGCATACCTCCACACCAGCTTCCTATAACTATGCTCTTTGAGACACAAGTAGTATACATAGACATGTAGTAGGGGTCATAATACTGTCTAGAAGAATATTTTTCCAGATGTAAAAAATCATTATAAACTAGGGTCTTTAGGAAAAACTTCTTGGAGCACATGGGTCCTGCTGAGCTTTGACCGGGAATGATGTAAATGACCGTGAGAATAAAGGTGGTAATTGCCAGTGCTGTACTGGGGAAGAGCAGGAGTCCATAAAACAGCAGGTATGAAAACAGTCAAGGTTTAGTGAGAACAGTGTGTGCCTAAGTAGAATGACCAGTTTAGGCTATAGTTGTATTTTCAATTAAAGTAATTGTACCCCTAATACATTAAGAGAGGAAAGGTACATGACAGAAACTTATCAGGAACCTGTTATAGTGTTCCAGACCCAAAATGATGAGTTTTGCAGCAAATTAAAAAGGGAAATGGCCATGCATTTTGGGGGGTGTGTGTGTGTGTGTCAGAGAGAAAGACCAGGACACCTGGTCATTTTTGTATCTTTTATTTTTAGACATGGTCTTCCTAAGTTGCCCAGGCTGAACATGAACTTGCTCTTCCTGCTTTTAGCCTCTCGAAGAGCTAGGGTTATAGGTGTACACCCCTGCTCCTGGTTTACCGTGTGTTTTGAGAGAGGCAAGTTGGGTAAGGAAAATCTTACCAACACACTCTGGAGTATTTAAATGCCTTCATCACTATCTCTATCTCTTGCTGGGCCTCATCTTCCTTACCTGTAGGGAGCTGAGAAGTGTTTCTTCAGCAGTCTGGTGTTAGTGATTTTTTTTAGTATTCTTCTGGAAATACAGCATATAGAACATCTATACACATGCATCCATATCCACATCCATGTCTGTAAACATGCATAAATATTCTGTATGTTACATTGTCACACAGCTGAATGGTGCTGCTACCCACTCCATTTGACATTTTCAGGTTCATCACTTCTTGTCTAGTCATTAGATTATCATTGGCATTTTATCCTTTCTATATAAAAGAAACTTTGTGTTTCAATAGTAAGACTTCTGAGAGCAATCACAATAAGATTTTTAGATAAAATCATTTAGGTAGAAGCAAGAGTAGATAAACTTTGATTTGGTTTGAAAATTATCTTCTGTCTGGTTCTGTTAATGAAGAAAGATAAACCTTGTACATCTTGAGAACCTACTAAAAGATATACCAGCATGTAGCCTCTGTACTATGAAAGCACATGGCAAGTTTCAGTGGTGTGCCATCTGCATATGCAGTCTGGCCTTTGGCCTCAGACATGTCTTCAGGGAAACGGATGATTGTCTTTGCTAAAAGTAGTTTTCAAAGACAACCGACTTCCTTAACTGAAGCAAAATTAACAAATATGTACCAAAAGTATGTTGTGTTCATCATGTTGAACAAACAAATTATATTGGATATTGCATATACAGAGATAGTTGTTTTCTTATTTTCATTTAGGTAGAATCCAGAGCATGAGTGCATCTGGCATGCAAGTCTGACTTCCAAGTTCATTTTACAATAACCAAAAAAAGCTGTGACTTGTTGGTAGTGAGATGAATGACTGATAACTTACCTATACTCTTGACACCTTTACAGATCTACTCCAATTAAACTTTAAAACATTGTTGAACGGTAAACTTTAGGAATAATACTCTGTTATATGGTAACATTAGTAAGCCTTAATTTCAGAAAAAGATGAATGTATTATGTTTTTTTCTGAATGTCCAAGAGCACTGTTGTTGATAGCTAAACAAACCAGGGGTGGGCAGGCCGGGCTGATTAAGTAAAAGATGAACTGGTTTTGCAGATCCTTAAACATGACTCATCTGAAGATGACCTTGCACTCATGGCAGGCTGAGATCAGGAGACTTTTGAGTGTTCAGTATGAATAGAGCCTGTGATGATGAACCAGCTAGCATTATTCAGTGATTTTGTTATCAAGTGATTTGTGTTTTCAATATTCCAACAATATGATGTTATTTTTATTCTGACTTCATGAACATGTGGCATGGTCTAGTGAACTTTACAATGCCCCCCCCCCGCCTTTTTTTACAATGGCTTTTAAAGTGACATTTTGATACTGAAGCCTGCTTTCTAAGACCTAGTTCCAGAATCCAGAACCTAAAGAGAGTAGAACCTTCATTACAGAGAATGAAGACACACAAGTTTTCTCCAAGGAGCTATGTGAACCTTGGAGGAGGTACCTAGGATTCCAGGGTTGCTGTTAAAGTTTATGCTTTATTAGGTGTATGCTGTTAAAGTTTCCATTAACTTCTCTAAACCAGTGTCCTCAGCTGTAAGTGGAGCTATAAAAGATATTTCTCCTAGAGGTTGTACTACTTTATATAGAGTAGTCATTAGTATTTTGATCAACTTACTGTACTAGCTTTTTTCCCTTGGTACTTTTCTGGAGAGATTTCTTACAGTACCAGGATTAGTGCCAGGATTTCTTACGGTACCACTGTACAGGCTAGAATGGGTTGGATTCTGGTTGGGTGATTTGAATAAAGTCAGATGGGGAACTGGAATTAGGATGCTACCCAAAATAAAAACCAAAATTATTAATATTTGACCAATTGATAATATTTGGTCTTGATTTTTAATGAATCTTGAGCTTACAAACAGCCTACCCTCTCTAGAATTTGTATAATTTTATTATGGCTATGTAGTTACTGGTCAGGTCAGCTAACATGACATTGGAGGGCCAAAAAACAATAAGTTGGAAACAGTCTTTTATAATGCAAAAAAAGTTAGCTTAGAAATTGGGCTTCCTGGGCTACAGTCTGAACTCAATCATCTTTGACAAATCCCTTTTCTTTGAACCTCAGCTTCCTCATCTTTAAAATGAAAGGACTGGAACAAGATAAACTTTAAGCTACTCTGTAGCTCTCCTCTGCCATGTTCATAAATCTTCACTATTGAGTAGCCACCTTGCATGTTTCTGTGTGCCAGGCTCTAGATAAATGGTTTCTTGGGCATGCTCTCAGGCCAGCTGCCTGGTGCTCCTCAAATCAAAGGTTCTTGCTTAGATGCTGGAGGAAATGAGAATAAAGATGCTTAGTGGACAAAGGAGAATGGGCCCTGCGGAGCATGTCTGAAAGGAACAAAGTTAGTTATAACAATTTAAGTTTCTTCAGATGTTTGAGTATTATTGAAGTATAGTTGGATGATATGTTTTGCTGTTCAGAACCTTTAACTGGCTACACGCTTCACTTAATTAAAGCTGACTACACGGCAACTGTAATCCAAAAGGGTAAGTTATTCTAAATTAAATGTCTGTTACAATTTATTGCAGGTAAACATCAGCTATATAAACATACACACAAAAAGAAACTGTTGAATCCCTTTTGGAGCATTTGAAATTTTTTTTTCCATTGATGATCTATGTTCTTCCAAAGCAGAAAACAATTTTAAATCTCAGGGAATTTTTTTCCTTTGCTGGCCAGAATCTCATTCCAAGAAGTACTAGCCTGTCTCATTTCAGAATGCTTCCCTTACCAAGGAAGTGGAAGTGGTCATATTCTTTCCCACTAGACTGTGGGTGAATTATAATTATCCTACCTCTTGTGAGACAGAAGCAGCAAGCATCTGCTCTACTGAATCAGAAACCAGTGGACAAAACTGTACCAAACTCTGAATCATACCTGGACTCTGATTAAAAGATCTGTGTTGTGTTTACCTTTTTCTTTATTTTCTTTGCAATTTAAAATATGGATTTGTTACCTCTGGCACCTTGTTCTGAGGGGAAATATATGGATTTCATTTGCTGACTTCTCTTTTAACAAAAATATTACTATTTTAAAGCAGATGGGCAATAATAGTTAATAATGGTTTTTCTGTTTGGTTATTATCTCCTCACTGTTTTCTTTAAAAGAATGGAAGAATTTTTAAAAATTTAGAAATACACAATTTAGAAAGATCTAATTAAAAAATTAGATCTTTCAGCTTTAGTTTCAATAACAAGGAAGCAGAAAATAATATTTTAAACTCTTTCTGAAAGAAACAAGGTTCACAATTGCTGTTACTATGATTTTATGAATCGTGATACATAAGGAAAGAAAAGTGGTATGGTATTTTAAGCCTAAGTTTTAGCTGTGAGCCTATTTCCTTTTCATGTTTTCTTTTTCTTTTTATTTGTTAGAGAGCAGAAAGACAGACTCGAGTTATGGATTCAACTCAGTATGCAGAATTTTGTGAAAGTCGACAATTAAGTTTCTGTAAGTAAGCATTTAACTGCTTAATTGTATGTATAAGAGATTGTGTATTATAGATGTAATAAACTATGCCACGCTCTTTTCCTTAGGAATTGATGTATTTAATGTATATATAGTTACAACTATCACAGAAACAACCTTTGTATTGTGGGGGAATGAAGAAAAGATTTTTCCATATTCTACTGTTCTGTGATTAATAGTTTTAAGGGGTTTTAAAGGATATTAGTAATACATGGAGAGCCATGCTTTTTATCCAGATTATCTTGAGTCAGAAAAATTCCCTTTTTCTTAATATTCTTTTGCAGTTTCTTAGTCATATTTGTACTAGTACTGCTGGCTGTACTTAACCTACAGCAATCTCTACTAATATGTTCATGGTACTGAAAAACCCCAATATTAATTATAAATACCAAATTTCTTTTTCTGAATACTCAGATCAATAGTCTTTTCCTTTTTTTGTCTTTAACCTCCTGCTGTGGTTTCAGTGTTAGCTAGATTCACTAGACCATGATCTCATGACACTAATAACAATAAAATTAGTTCTTTCCCATAACTGAACACTAGCTTCTTAAAAGTACACAAATACTCATGGTAGTGGGCTGAATCGTGAAGCAAAAATATCCTTACAGCAACAGTTCAGCAGTGACTAAGGCTCTTAGGGTAAAGGTCAAAGAGAAAGTGGATGAAAAATCTAGTTAAAAATATGATCAAGTAGCACATGACCATGGTCTGAGGGATTATAGAAACAATAGTGTCTTTAAACGAAAAGCCATTGTGTAGTCATAACAACACCCTATTTGATTTAGAAAACGAACACGAGAACAACGTATAGATCATAAAGTAGAAATAAATGACACATATCAAATAATGCCCCATGTAAATGTCAGTAAAATACGGAAAAATGTTTTGGAAGACTTTTCCTAACTAAATATACTTCCAATCTCACTAACAATTTGGCATCAGACATCTGTGAAGCATTAAGTAAATGACACTTCAGATCATGGCAATTTCAGCAAATGAGAGGTTTTATATTATAACTTTTAGGTTTAAAAATTGCAACAAATCTTATAAATATAATTCTTTAGTTTATAAAGTAACATTAGTGCATTTGAACTATTTTTAAAATCATATTTTAACTTTAATTCACTTAAAGGACCAGAAGTTCTATTTTACGGTAAAACTAATAGTCTCAAGTTTCCTAGTACGCCTTTATTTGAAAGTTAGACTTTTTTTAATTTTTAACACAATAGATTAGAAATTAACATTTTCCTTTCTGTGTAAAATAATAATCATAGAAAAATAGTATGTTACATTAAACTTTCTTCTCTGGAGAAAGAATGAGTTGTTTCTGGAGAAAAAATATTGGTGTTCATGGGCCTCCCTAGGAAAACCTGGTGGAAGAGTAGATTTCATTTAATACCAAGGTCAAGAGTCCTCAGTCCAGGTGGGATGGCAAAGCCAGGAACCATTCATACACTTTCCAGGCTACAGGACTCTCTTCATTTTCCCCTTCCCGTAAATACTAGGGTACAGGGACTGTGGTCCTGCCATTTCTGTCTTTGTAAGGTTTATTTGTTTATTTTTGACATAGTCTTACTATACAGTTCAGGCTGGCCTTGAATTCAGTTTCTACCCAGGCTGGCCTCAAGCTTACAGCAATACTCCTGCCTCAGCCTGCTGAGTGCTGGGATTTATAGGTATATGCCACCACACCTGGCATCTTCCTAAGTGATCAGGGCAGTCACTGTGATTCCTGGTACATTTGTCAATTATCAGTTTATCACTTTATGAGCAGAGCATGAGCTGTAGCGTTAGGATATAGGTCAGATTCAATAGTCATTTGTTTTTCTATGTATATAAGTCAGTCTTTTCAATTTGATACTAATACTGATTCATATTTTCACTATGGTGTATCTAGTAAATCATATTCCAGTCTTTTCCTTTCAGCTTTTTTTATATTTTATTTTTATAACAGTATCTTGATTTTTAAAAATCAATTAAAATCTTAGTATTTTAATTGAGGAGTTCAATCTGTCTTTAATTACTAACAATTTAATTTTAAAATTTAATTTTAAATTTAAATTTTTAAAATTTAATTTTTAAAATTCCTTTTGTTTTTTAATGATTAGCCAAAAAAGCTTCCAAATTTCGAGACTGGTTGGACTGCAGCAGCATGGAGATAAAACCCAACATTGCTGCTATGGAAATTTTAGCATATTTAGCACATGAAACAGTGGCACAGGTAAGATTCTAAACTGTCACATAAAGCTGCACATGGTGGCTATCCATGATCAGTTTTTCTTCTTTCTGCTGCTCTAACAGCAATGACAGCAGCCATATGTTCTCTGCTGCGACAGTCATATCGTTTTCCAGAATTTAGTTCAATTACATTTCTTTGCATTCTCAGCTCTGGTAGGTGTTAGAGAAAGCGCAAAAAAGAAAAAAAGGCGAGTTCTCATAACTTTATCCTAATGAGAGATTGATCACATATTTTTTTCATGCTGTTGAACTCAAGATATGTCAAGAGATTATTTTTGAGCTTTGAAAATTGCCTTTCTGGGTCTCTGAACTATTCACCAAAGTCTGTCTCTAAAACAGTTGTTCCAGGCCTGGTCTGTAGGCCACAGCATCAGCATCAACTTGGCTCAAATTGCAGCAAGAATTCTTTTAGAGTTCTGCATTATAGCAGATCTAAACTGAAATCCCTGGACCTTGGACCCAGGGATCTGTGTTACAAAATGCTTCGCTGGTGATTATGAGAAAAGAACTTTTCAGAACCATTCCTTTAGAAATGGTTATCCTCACCAGTATTTATAGGTAAGCCTGTTAAGCAGTCAGTAGAAGTCTCTGCTCATGCCCACCATATAGGTTGTTAGGCAGACAGCATTATCAACTACTTGTGCTTTGTGTTTGTTTGCCATCTCAGCCATGTGACTTTATTTCCATTGCTCTGATCTTCTAGTTAGTGGATCTGGCTCTTCTTGTGAGGCAGGACATGGCAACCAAAGCAGGGGACCCTTTCAGCCATGCTATTTCTGCAACCTTCATCCAATATCACAGCTCTCCCGAGGTATGTATCTGAAAATATGGCTTTAATACATCTTTGAATTTTGTCACATATATGGGATCCGCCTGAATAGTTCTTTAAAATAGATTATGTAAGCATGTATGTCTTTCAGTTAAAGAATCTTATACATTCACCATTTAAACAGATATTTATAAGGGGTTTATTGTGTGCTAAGCCCTGACATTCTACTTCATATCATTTTTTACTTTTTCTCTGCTCACTTTGCCTTTCCCAGCCCTTCAGAACAAGAGAGCTACTTGCATCTCATTTCCTTGTGAAAGAACAATTGGTTTAGGTGATTCAATAATGATGAGAAAAGTTACTTATTTCTTTGTGCCTCAAAAGATAGAATTGGGTTGGAGATGTAACACAGTACAAAGTACCTGCCTAGCCATGTGCAAGGAAGGCCATGGTTCAGATCCTCCAACACTGCCAAATCAAAAAAATAGTTGTTATTTGTCATGTAATAATTCCTGGCATTTTAAAAATAACTTTTCATTTATTAATTTTTGTATTGACAGAATTTTAAGATGCATGGCTTCCTTAACATTTCACTTTTAGATTGGCCCTCTGATGTAAAAATCAAGTCATTTTCTTCTCCGGTTTATGCTGCTAGAACCACTGCCTACAGAGCCTCTTAACACTTCTTGTCATTTTTTTTAAGCTTTTGCATAATAACTGGGAAATATACACAGAGAATATACAGTATTCTCCGGAGCAGCATGTGCCTAAAAATAAGAAATGAAATAGACATGTTGAATATATTTGCCAATATTTTACCTTTTTTACACAAAAATAGTAGTTTCATATTATTTCATCTAATAATATCATAGAGGCAACAGCAAAAGTGTTAGCTTAACATCTGTGTGTATAATTAGGTTAGTTTAAGATCAAATTGAGTAAAATATATAATCTAAAAAATGGTAAAGTGCTTTTATATCTATACTGTATCTTAATTACAAATCTCTTCCTTCTTCATAGATGGGGAGGATGGTGGGACTGAAATAGTTTCTAAGAAGTAGTTGTAATCTATTTTGTGCTACAGACTCTTTGAGAATCTGATGAAAACTGTGAATCCTTTCTCCATAAACACATTCATCAGCTTGTAAAGACCTGTTGAAGCCATCTATGGCTCTAAGGGATCTGTGAACACTGATCCCCCAAAGTTCAATCTGTTTGCTTTAGGGTACTTAGGAAATGTACCAAGATAAACATCCCTATATAGATCTCACTACAAACCAGAGGTCAGCTTGGCATCTTCTTATATGCCCTGGAGGATCAGACTAGCTTCAAATCTAAGCAGAGTGAGAATGTTTTTGCCAACTAAAAATCCCATTTTTTTTCTTGGAAAGGTCATACATCATTATCAGTCAGCATACTTTTAAAGTCTAGAAAGCTTACTTAGTTGATTAAACACTATTTGTTTTCTTTATATTTCAAACCCAAATTATGATGTCAAAGAACACCCATTTAAAATGTCTTTGATGCATGTTCATTGTATGAATATGTGTGTAAGTATGCTTCCTATTAACATCAGACAAATTTGTTGTAACATTTCTAATTGAGGAAATTTACTGTGAATATAGCAAGCCTAGTTTTCCCATTCCATTCAAGTGATTGCTTGTATGGCTAGCTCTTTAGTCCTCCCCTTTCTTGATTCTCCAGGGTGGCCAAGCCCCCCTAGGCAACTGCTCAGCAATCACAGTGGCTGTTCCTAGCTACACAGCAGTTAAGAAAAATGTCCTGTGTGTACTAGACTTCCTGGGCTTTCTGTGAGATAAGGGCATGAGTGTCAGAGAATGTCCTAACAATGTTAGCATAAGCCTCAGCTTTTTCCTGGCATGGTGGGCACCTTGTTCCTCTGTGATAGCTAGTCACAGTAAACATTCCTGAAGACTTCCATCACCAACAGAGAGAATACCACCCTAAAGCAGGAATCTTCCTAATCATCATGCATTCAGTAGTCAACTATATATCCAGGACTGTATAACCAGGACTGTACCAAATGATCCAGAGAGCATTCTGCAGACAGGCAGAAGCTGTGTTCTGGGAGACTGAACAAACAAGCAATAAATAAACTAACAAGTCAAGATACCATATACAATTATTAAATGAAACAAAGTGCATATTTTAAAATCACACACACACACAAACAAGTTCTAGTTACAAAGACTCAGAGAAAGCTGAGTGTTAAGGAAAGAAAGTACTTGCTGAAGCGCGGTTAATAAATACTCAGCCTTCATCTTATTGTTCCAGGAACAAGTTATATCAGATTATCCATATTCTTTCTCATTTGATGCTGTATCTCCACAAACAGATTAAGAAATATTTTTGATACCAGTATCTCAATTTTAACAAGATGTTTTGTAAATTCTAGTATAATGTTTAAAACATTGTAGAGAAGTGTAAGCCAGTATATATTATGATTACCATGGTTGAGAAGAATAAGAAAAATGTAAATCAGTAATACCATTTTGGAAAAAGAGATTTTCATTTGCCTATAAATTTCCTAGAAGCCAATACTGAAGTGTGACAAGGAATTTTTTTAAATTTTATTTTCTGGGTGCTGGCCTATAGAATGGGCATTGACCCAGTACTAAGTGTTGGGGGAGATTAAAAAGGAAGGACCTAAAAATGTACCTAATAATAGCCAATTAAAAGAACTTGGGATGTTTGGTCATACCAGAGAAGAGACTGAAAATACAGTCTTCAAAATATTTGCACTACTTCCACAAGAAAGAAAGTACAGACTTACACTCATGGCCCAAAAGCTAGAGTCATGAGGAATGTGAGGAAGAAATGGGAAGGTCTGGAGGACATTCAGGGACTCCTGGCATGAAGTCTGTGTGTGGGGAAGTACTGAGGACTCTGATGCTAGGGACATCTAAAGTGTAGCCAGCTTGGCCAGAAAGTTTTTGAAATGCTTCCAAAAACTCCATACAGAAATGTGTATAGATGACAAGTCCAGCAGAGATTTAGAAGCTAGAGTGGAAGAAATCTGGTTTTGTCTTAAATAATTAGATGAAAAATTAAAATATATAGAACCTTTAGGGGCAAGACAGAGCTCATTTCTATGGACTAAATACAAATATTGTTTTTCATTTTTAAACTGTAAGTAGCATTATATCATGAGATACTAAAGCAACACTAATATTAGCAGAAGATCTTGTTGTGTGACTAAAAGCCATGTGTCGTGGCAGGGGTCTTGCATGAAGTCCTGTCCAGACTCCCCTGAAACCACACCACCCCCAACGCCTACAGCTCCGCCATCTGGATCACAGCACCCAGGAAAGACCACACCAGGGACCATTGGGAATGGTAGTGCTGGACCTGACACTGCTAAATCCAAGCAAAGGAAAAGAAAAAAGGTCAGTGACTTCTCCTTTTTTTTTTTTTTAAACCTCAGGAAGTATGGAAAGTTTCATTAAATTCTTTTCAGATATAGGAAAAATGTACTTTATTTTTCTCACAGCTCAAATATATAGAACCAGTTTACATTCACTTATAACTTCTACTTCAACTTTGTAAACAACTTTCTTTTGGATAAAGAAAAATACTGATATTTTATACAAAAATGTTCAAGCACTTGACACATACCAACTAAAGTCTACAATTAATATTTTACTGTGTTTATCAACATAAAATGTCACTTTCTATTCATCTGTTTATCCATCCTGTTGTTCACCTTGTTGTTGTTGTTACATTACAAAAGAAATACATTTTACACCTAAACTCTTTATTATGTATGTATGAGTTACAGTTTCTTTTTCAGGGTAAATTGTGTGCACAGTGAACCACTTGACCCTTAAGTGTATCATTTAATGAGTTTTGACAAATATATTAAATTGTGTTTTTCCAAAACTCTGTCAAAATATAGGACATAATTATCAATTCTGAAACTGCCTTCATGTTTTCTCCTGGTGAACCACTGCCCATAATGTCCTGAAAGGCAACCATTGTTCTGACTTTTTTATCATACATTCATTTTTCTTTCTAGAACTTCATATAAAAATAATATAGTATGTATGTGAAATTTCTTTTACTCTGCAGAGTTTAAATTTTTGGTTTTGGTTTGTGTGTAATTCTCTTATTTTTTACTACATTCCATTGTAGGAATATGCCAGTTTATTCATTCTCCTTTTGGTGGATACCTACACTGTACCATTGTTTGGGTATTATGAATCTACTGTAATATTCTTCTACAAGTTTTTAAGGACAGATGCCTTCATTTCTTCTAGATGGAGAGCTAGAAATGAAATTGCCAAGTCACAGAATTTTGTATTTGTTGGGTTTTTAATGAAATTGCAAGACTTTTCCCCAAAAAAGTTGTATCATTATTTTATACATCCACCATTTATATTTAAGCATTCTAGTTGCTCCATATCCTCATTAACGTTTAGTGTTGTTACTGTATTTTTAATCATTCTAATGATTATTGGTAACTCATTATAGTTTGTGCATTCCCCTGACTAATATTAAATGCTTGTGTGTATACTGACCAGGTTGACAAATGGCTGATCATTTGTCTTCCTCTGTGGAATTTCTTTTCAAATCTTTTACTCCATTTTAGGAGCTGTTGCTTTTATAACCAATATATAAGACCTCTGTATATATCCTGAGTAACATTTCATACATGAAACTAAGCTTTTCATGTATTTTCTCTGTTTATGCATGACCAAGTCATTGTCTTAATTAATGTTATTTATTCTGATATTCACTACAGTTACTATAGTTTTTCTGATAATTACCATAATTTTTAGGCTCATAATTCTTTGTAGGGAATATAATTCTATGAGTAGCAATTTCTATTGGTAGCATATTAGCAAAATCTTATCAAAATAAAGCATAGCACAATAACTGTGTCCCAGCATTTTTACCTCAAAGACTTGATCCTATAGACATATTAAACAGATGCAGAGTAATATACACCCAAGTATATCACTACAGCATTATTTGGATTGATGAACTAAATGTTCACAGTGAAGATGTAACTAAATAAATTACCATATGTCTGTTCAAACAAACAGGAAGCACAGTAACCATAACCACTCTTGTTGAGCTATTTCCAAGATACATTACATGAAAAGGACATAGCCAGGTAGGTGGCACTAGGCCCACCTGTTAAGGAAAACAAAGTACTAACTCTGATACACTTACTTAGCACAGCTATTCTTTGCAAGAGCACACCAGAAGTCAGCACCAATGCTGACATCCTGGAGGGGAGGAAGGTAAGATGGAGAGAGATTAGAGAGAAATCTACTTTTCATTGTATCCTCTTCCATACTTTCAAATGTACTCTTAGACCATGTGCATGCTTTTCTTATTACAAATTCAAAAATAACTTAAAGATTTCCACAGACCAAGAGCATCCAACCTGAGCCTGAAATGAGACTTAAAATATACATAACAAAACAGGTCCCAATTATTTTCATTATTTTAATAAGATTTGAAATACACTGAATAGCAATTACCCTAGGTTAATGGTGGTTAACCTGTAGTACATCTGCTGCTGCAAACTGTTTGTATCATTGAAAGCCCTAAGAGGTTCATCATCACTGCTGTAGAGTGTCTTTCTCCATTTCATCCCAAAACCTTAAACATGTCCTGTGCCCATCAACAACATGGATGCACTAGGGATATGTGTTACTCCTTGGTAAATGAAAGGAAAAACCACAAATGAAGCTGAAATTTAAATTTGTTTATTATCAATTATAAAATTGCATGTTGGCATGGTTCTACAGCTTTTAATGGCAAATAGTTTTATTGTGCTAACCAAGATATAGCTAAACCCTTAAGCATTGTAAGCTAAAGCATTAAACATGTAAGCATTGGACAATTAATAAGGAAAGAAGTCCATGAGAGTACTTGAGACTGGCCGGGGCAGGTCTAAGCTTAGATGATGGGAACAGCAGGAGTTGAGCTTCATGTTTTATCACTGTGATCCATGAGCCGGTTGCAGTGGATGTTGGAGTGGCTAAGACACAACTGTCAGAGGCTTCATGAGCTAGAGGCTAGAGTTCAGGGAAACCACGGCTAATAGAAACTAAGGGGAAGAAATCACAAGAAAGACACAATCAAAGTGAAGACTCTCCATGTCTGGTATTACAAACTTTACCTACATCTCTGACTTCTAAATTATTTCTGTGTAGTATAGCTGCTACCACTCAAGAGAAGCCTGAAGTTAAGAGTTAAATCTAGAAAAATGAATTTCCTTCTTGAACATTTAAACAGAAACACAACATCACCCACTCTCTTCATAGAAATATAAGAGAATCCCTTAATGTCAACAATGTTTTGCTCAAATGTCTAAAATATAAAGAAAAAAGACCTATACTTGTTGAAAACCAAAGTAATTGAGATAATTATTTAATTTTCACAACAATCTTATAGAGCAATTACAATTATTGAGCCAAAGTACAGATGAGGATACTGAGGCTTGGAGATACTGTGCCCCTTTACAGAGCTTGTAAGTGATGGAGCTGGGATGTGAACCCAAGGCAGCTGAGAAACCAGTACTTAACACTTCACAAGACTATAATACCGGTACTGAAGCATATTAATGTTTTATGAAAAATCATGTTGCATACATACACATCTGTCATTTCTTGAGGAGCTATTTTTTTTTTTTTTTGTCTTTTTCCTTTTTATCGGTATCACGGATCGAACTCACGACTGCCTGCTTGCAAGGCAGGCGCTTATGCCGCTGAGCCAAATCCCTAGCCCCTTGAGGAGCTATTAATACTATCATTGTAAATAATCTTTTTCTCTCATGTTCTGTTTGCAAAATTGCCTCTATGGATGTGATAAAAATAGAAAGTGTTTGCATTTTGTCCCAAGGATAGCAAGAAAATTAGGAACCAAGTTAGAATGCTCTTTTATGATAGTCTACTGTACAATAAATAAATATATCACAATTTTACATTTTTCTTTTTTAAATTAATGACTCCAGTTATTTCAGAAGTATGCCCAGGAATCTCCCAAGAAACATTTACAGTAATAAATGTTTTTTAAAAAACTAGCTTCCTGTAGTTCTTTCAATGAGCTCCTATGACAGTTTTCATGTGCACACAAATGGCAGTATCCTTCTGTACCTTGACATGCAGGCTTAGATGAAATATTGTAGGCATAAAAATTGCATTTGGTAGAGGTCTGCTAAGCAGGGGTCACATAACAGTCATCTTTGATTTGTTAATGGAACTTTCTTTAGTCAAAGTATATGGCAACGGCAGTGTGCATCCTAAGGAGGAAAAATGGCTTGTTTTGTAAAGGTTTATTTTCATATTTCATACACTGTAGTTCTGCTGCGTGTTTTTGATTTAGTAACAGTTTATGTGTTTTTCTGTCACAGAGCACCGCGGCCTGTGGTGCAGAGGCTCACAGCGATGCCATCCAGCCCTGCCACATCAGAGAGGCTGTCCGACGCCACGGCCGCAAGATTGGCCCCCTTTCTCCATTCACAGTATGTAATAACAGAGTTATAAAAAGTTATATTTATAATCTGAAAGAATTTTGATTTTCAAGTGGTTAAATGAAGAAGCAGTGGAATTGTTCAAAGCAATTTGCGGTGACCATAATTTTGTTGTATAAAAGTGGCATAATTCTCTTGGGAAATAAGTTAGTCTTTTTGTCTTTCTTTAGGAAGACAAATTTTTTTTCTACAAATATTTTCTTTCAATTACATATTAAGCTTTGTGTTGGGGCTTATGTTTTCTATTTTTCAAAGCTTAGGTTTATAAAACTTTTGTCAAATTATAGGTATCCAAATATTGTTAGAAGCACTTTATATTTTTAAATTGGTTAGCTTGGCATTACCACTTCTGTCAGACGTCGCTCTTCTAAACACACTTTGAGTTGGAAGAAGAAATGATTTCTTTCCTTGCTTTGAACTGGGCTGAACTGGAGACAGGCTTTCACATCTTCGGATGATTTGAAAGCTTATAACTGTGGTTTTGTTTTTTTTTTAATGGCAATTAAAGAGTCAAGATTTCAGCAGCAAAAAGAAAGTGTGCATGCAGGGGTGTGTTTCAATGAAGTGCTTATCTTACACATGTTTAAAAACACTGTTTTTATGTAACAGAAGTTGTTCCAAAAGCTCTGTTTCTAAGAAATTGGTTTAATGTTCAGAAGTAAGATTTGATTTACATAACAGAGGAACAATAAATTTACAGAGTGGTTTGGTTTGGTTTTTTCCAGTATGAGGGATTGAATTCAGGTAACTGAGCTACATCCCACCCGCACCCCATTTTTTGAGACAGAATCTGTGTGTCGCTAAGTTGCCTAAGTTGGTCTCAAATTTGCTCTCCTCTTCCATCAGCTTCATGAGAGTGCTGGGATTACAAGTGTGTACCATCACACCTGGATAAATTTACTTGTTTTGCTATTAACTTCTGATTTAATTCACTAATGTAAAATAGAATAACATTATATAAACATGTAAACAATTGTGTAAAACATGTAAACACATAATAGAGATACAAATTCAGATACAGCATAAGCTAATGTGTATCAGATACATATAACCATTATATTTTTAAAAACTAATGATAAGAGTTTTTAAATGCTGAATTTAAATAGATCTGGAAAACAGAAAAACTAATTCAGGATCTGAAATGTTCACATAGCCAATGTCCTAGCAGACAAGCGAATTAGTAGTAAATGCTAAAGAAACCCTACCCCAGAGGAGCACCCAAGGTTTGATCCCTCCTCAGACCTGCTCCATTACATCGCACGATTGAGATCTGCTTGCTACATAGGACCAGGAAGATAGTACATGACATACTCCCTCAAGAATACTTGCCACAGATTCAGCTGGTGCAGTGTTTACTTTGAGATATCTTGCAGGCTATAATCCTAACTTTCCCCCCAAATTTCCCACAAAATACCTAGCTCTTAGTATTATTTCTGCATTATTCTAGTAAATTGATAGTCTTTAGAAACAAAAGGCATCATTTTACATACAGTAGTAATTCCATTTATAAATTTAGTAATTCTTGGTCACTGAAAATTAAATGAATATTGGAAGCAAGCTGCCCTCTTTTTTCTCTCTATACAGGAAAAAAGTCTCTATACAGGTTAAAAAGTCTCTTCGTTGTAGGGTATGTTTGCAGGATGTGTATGTCAATGCTAAGGCTACCCTTCCCTGGCTGCCCTATTCTGCTGGCTGCTAAAAGGAGTCGGTGGTGGTGGAAACCTCTTGATGTTAGCAGATACTGCCATTCAGTCCCCTCAGATACACTCTGCACACCTGAGGTGATGTTTAATGCAGTCACAAGAGGTCACTTGGCTACCTAGGCAGTAAGAGAGGAGGGAAACAGAGCTGCCTCTATAATAACCATAGATTGAGATTTAAATTTCCTCGCAGAAAGAGTGGGCTAACATGGCTTCTAATATAACATTTTCTTTGTAAATTAAAATCTAATGAACAGCTCATTTACATTTGTGATGCACAGAAAGTTTGTATTTGCAGCATGTCATTCTAAATCTAGTATTTGTGCATTTATTTAATATTTATAACTGATACTAGAAGCAATAGAATTTTTACATGTTAATGAAATACCAGGTGATGTTGATAAATGGTTGATAACCTGATTTAAACCAGGTTAAACGTACTTACCTCCTCAAAAATTTATCATTTCATTGCAGGAAAAACTTTCAAGACCCTCTGCTATAGCTTCTTAAAATGTAAACCCGTAACTGTTCTTGCTCCTATTTGATGCTACCTTAATACCCATTAATCAGTGTTCCCCTTCCTCTTTCTTCCCCTTCCCCAGCCTCTGTTCACCATCATTCTCCTCTTAGTTTGTAAGAGATTGATGTTATTAGATTCCACAGATGAGTGCAGTTTACGGAGTGCTTGTGTTTCTGTACCTGAATTGTTTCATTAATGACCTGTGTTTGAAAATGACAGGATTTTGTTCTTTTTGTGGCTGAATACTGTTCAATTGTGTATTCTTACCACATTTTCTTTATCCATTCATCAGTTTATATGAACACAGATTTGTGTGTCTTTTGACTATTAGAAATAATGCTGCTGTGAACAGGGAGTGCACATGTCTCTATGACATCCCAATTTCATTTCCTTTGGTTATACACCCAGGAGTATACTAAGTATATTACTTAATCTGTTATATGGTAGCTCTAATTTTAATTTTCTATTTTCAAGAATGACTGTACTAATTTGTTATATATTTAAATGTATCTGATTTAAAATATCTATAACTTGGTGCCTCTACATCCAGTTTCCTACATTTGAAATTATTTTGGGGAATTTAAATAGCCAGCAGTTTACACGGGAACAATTTTAATATAAACCAGATATACTTAAAAATCTTTTAATGAGGCATCATTCTCTTTTCTGGATGACCTATGAAATAGTTTTGTGCCAAAATATAGCATGACCAATTTCAAGAATAGTTTCTTGTATAAAGCATGAGTTCTTCACTTGGGAATTATGTGAAATGACAAAAGAAAGCAATGATTAAAGCCTTTTGCTCACAGGAGAGAGGAAGAACAGCACAGACAAGATCATAGGACAGCACTGCAGGCACAGGGAGCGAGAGAGGACTGCATGAACGTCCACCAGCTGCGCTTGCAGGCTGTGATAACACATTTGTGAGAGCTTGCACATAAGAAAGTTCCATTTAATTAAATGAGTTGTCATGTTCCTATTTGTTAGGATTGCCTTAATTATCATTTAAAATTATTAATATGTTGTATTTCAGATCTTCCCAATTTCTGGTGTATATTTGTTTTTAAAAGTCTTGGTAATGTTTTATATATAGTACCTGGATATACAGGGAGATGGGAGTTAAAGAAGGTATTAGCACTTCCAAAAAAATGTTCTAGCAAAAGGTTTAGCTGTTTTTATTTTCTTTTCACAGCTTAAAGATTCAAATGCTACTGATAATTTTAAATATATATATATATACATATGCATATTGATAGCTTTCTCTTGAACCTTAGAAGAGTCAAATAATAAAATTACTCTTTTAACCATGATATATGTTCCTAGAATATATCTGTGTAGACTTAGATGCAAAGAGCCTTTTAAATTTTATGATGAGAACATTTCTTGTTTCCTCTGAGAAAGTAGCCAGAAAAGTAACTTCAGGCACACCTTGCTAGTCCATTAAGAGGCTATGAGATACTGTTCTAACTGGAACCTTGCTGTGTACACAACCATGGTTACCTACTCTAGGGCACAAGCCTAGCTCTCAATGGGACATGCTGTAAAGGCCAGATAAAAAATCAGGTGTATAATGTGCAAAGCTAGAGAGAGAAAACTGTGTTCACTGAGTGAGGTGATAAAAGCCCATGTGTTATGCCTTAATCTATTTTAGTTTCTCCTGCTAGTCAAGTAGAAGAATAGACAACCCTCTGAACCCACATATTAGCAGGTTGCTTTCTCTTGAACTATAATAATCAGATAAAATTACTCATTTAACCACAGTTATTAATCTAAATGACCTTAAATATATCTGTAGAAGCAAGTTGCTTCTGTGTCCAGCCATCTTAGATCTTGAGACAGAACCCTAGAATCTTAAAGCTGATTTGGAGACCAGTCAGTCTCTATCTCAGAGGCTTTGCAATGTGGCAGTGCATAGAGTTAGCCCTGCCCTGTTCCTGAGTACTGCTTGTCCTCCCTGGCCATTTACTTTGATGTATATGGATTTATTAGGGAGTTCTAGAACATTCCCATATCATTAGTTGTTCAGGGATGTTCACAGTAGGCTAATAGGGATCAAAAATATGAAATTCCCTGTAAGAATTCCTCACAATTAACTTTTTAATATGAAACTTACATGCCTGCTTGCTTTCCCTATTTTGATGTGGAATTTCACATTCATAAATAAATACTAGTATCAGAGCACTTTTTTTTACTGGAAGCATATATTTTACTAGAAGTAAAAATTTTCTCAGTAAATTTTCTAGAAGTATTAAATCTATCATTCTAGATTGCAGCCAAGTATAGTTTTGTAACTATATATAGTCCAGTGGTTCTCAAAAAAAAAAAAATAACGTGCTACATTTACCATATTAAAAACCTAAAACTAAGTGTTCTCCAGAAAATTATGAAACTTTAAACACCTTTCATTTTAAAATAGGGTGAGGTTGATTTTGTTGCACTTTGTTAGATAGAATTACTTAAAATTGCAGTTTCTGTATATCAAAAGCAGTTGAATATAAAAATTTTATATGATCCAACTAATACAATGTTCAATTTAGGATTATTCAGAGAAGGACTTTTAGGAATGGAAATGAACTAGAAACACTGGGGAGAAAACATCATTGGCATCTGAGACTAACACTGGGCACAGTAATAACTCACATCTTCCTTTAAAGGAAGCTCTTTATCTGCATTGTCTTATTGGATCCCCAAATCCCACCATGAGATTAGTGCTACCATATGCATTTTATTGATAAGAAAACTGAGATTTAGAGAAAAATTAAGTAATGTTT